AGATGTTGTCATGTTTGTCTTGATTCTTTTGGGAGAGGTTCACACCAAAAGTGAGTGGATAAGCCGACGGCATCATGAGCATCGCGGGGTCTTTTTGGGTTCCGAATTTGCGTCTTGACAGGCCACACGTGCCAAGTGCTTGGCGGCGGCGTTGCCGGCCCCTGCCGCTAGGCCTAAAATACATCTGTCTCCTTCACATGTGTTGCATGATGCCTACCGTCCTGGGTAGCTTCCGCAGCGTTTGGGACTTGTTCATGGCAGACGTCCAGCAATTCTTTCGACTGTTTCAGTTCATCCACCCGCTCACCCACCCACCCACCCCGGAAAATGAGCATGAAGCCTCAGGGAGCAACATGTAGCAACTTATGTCACGTGCAAGGAGCAATCGAGCAGTGCCTTGCAGATGCAACAATGGCAACACTAAGCACGTGGCGTCCTGTAAGCCGGTGTCTAGAACCGGAATCGCAGCGCCGCCCATGTTGCACAAACATTGAATTGCACAAGCCCGCACTGACCAGCACCTGAAGCCAGTGCACAAATGTGAAAAAGCAATGCCAGGCGTCAGGAGCTTCAAGCGACGTCCAGCAGCTTAATTCAGCCGGCGCGCGGGTCCCGCAGCCGGCAAGCCACAACAACTGCATGTGGCGCGGCGACGTCTTCCAGCAAGGCCATGGCCTGCTCTCACAAGAGCCACAGGCCATTGCTGTCGCAAACTTGATTCTCCTCTCAGCCAGCCTGAACATGCAGATGCCTGGCAGGAAACTGCTGGAAACCCTGCATCTTCTGCTTTGATTGCATCACCTTGCAGATCCCTGCAGACCAGGCCTGACGTATGGATCTTCGCTGGACAGTCCCGGGCTTACAATTGCATCCGTTTGGCCAGCCTCGACGCCGACACAAGAAAGATGCAAAAGCCAGGTTGGCAGGTGTTGGCCAAGGAGATGTCCAGAATCAACTTGCACGAATTTGCGCGAGCGAAACTACTTCAGAACAAGTAAGGAAAAGCTTTCTGGCTGTGAGACAAGGAGGGTTGTGGCAGCATGCTTGTTTGTGGACAATATTATTGGCGTGGAATTCCCATCACAATCCATCATGAACGTCCCGGATTTCTTGGTCAAATGTCTGGCTCAGCAGAAAAATGTCTTCATGGGCGCCCAGCCTTAGCAGCGTGATACAGGAAGTCCACAGCGCCCTGTCGAACTTCTGCATCGGATGCTTCCAGCTTCGCGATGACGCACTGGCCCACCTTGACAACAGGAAGAGTCGCCGAGCACAAGCAACAAGTAGAGAACAACATGCATGCAGAGCGTGTCTCTCTCAGCTAGCCTTTACACTGAGGGCTTCGGGGATGGCTCGCAGCGTTTGCAGCATCATTGCTTGTACGTCTGGCTCCTTAGGCGAGACATCCGTCGATATGCACCTACGTGATCCTACATGCAGGGGCGCATGTGCAGCCAATGCCGCAGCGTCTAATGCAGCGTCACGTTCAAGATCACAGCGGGGAAGAAGTCAACAACCATCACAGGGCTACACAGGGCTTGACAAAGGCCATGGTGCTATATGGGCTCTAATTTGCAGGTTATAGTCCAAACATTATGCGCTGACCAGTCCGTGGTATCTAAGGTCTGCGCATGCCCCACTGCACGGTGCTGCTTTACTTCCGCTCTAACGGTCTCTAACAACTCCATATAAACTTCAACTTTCTTGTCAAGGGGGCAAAATAACTTCAAGTCGCATGCTGCAGTTGAGTCCAACAACCATTCAGGCACCCTCTCTGAGAATACAGAGCCCCAAGACAGATACGAAAGAGGAAAAAACCGTGGGCAGCTGTGAGTATTCTCAGCTACTTGAAAGATAAGTCTCTGTATTCTCCATGCACTCTGTGAGCATGGTCGCTCCTGCGTGGGTCAACCCGCAAATCGCACAAACAGAACTTGTCCTTCTGCACAAGACAGATGTGGCCTGTCTCGCCCATGCAGCCAAGTGCGTGTATGCAAGCTGTCCTAAGAGCGTCGCAGTGGCCACTGCATGCGCTCTTTCACAGAAGCAAAACAAGCATCCGACTGGAGTTTGAATGCCGGAGCCCTCTGTCTGTGGGCAGCCGAAGCCTGGGTCACTTGGAAACCCTACATGAATCTACATGATCATTGTTGCCAACTCCCGGGCCTTCGGATCAATGTGACCTGTGCCATCTTCCCAGCCATTAATGCTGAACTTCTCAGTTTTGGCGCTAGCCTGTGTCCAAAGCATCCAAGTCTGGGAGGCGCGGCAGCCTTGACACTTCCAAAGATCGAAAGGATTCTCAGGAAGCGGAAATGGCCATTCCCAAAGGATCCCCAAGGGTTCGGGCTGCCAGGCTTCCCAATCGCTTTTGCTGTTGCGAGGCCCAGGTCGCTTCTGGCATCCGCTGGGCTCTGCCTTAGAGCTGTATGAGTTCGGTCTGAGCTGGTGTTGATTTCTTATCATTTTCTGACTTCTGATATTGGCCAGCAGCCGGACAGAGTGCCGACGCGACAGTGAAGCGCGCCGACTGCCTTAGATCTGACGCTCACATTGCCCCATCCATGCTGTTTTGAAGTTGGAAGACAGAAGGTGGATGCTGGGAGAAATGATGGATGAAAGATCCAAGGAAGTTAAGAACATTCAGCAAAGCGCTGCCGCAGTTTCCTAGGCCATGAAGCGTGCATATGCATATAATCCTGCTGTGGGACTCTGCTCAACCTGCGGGAAAAAACACGTCTGCACGCATCGTGCTTTTCTGGGATGTCCGTCCTCAACCTCCCCGGACTTGGTAAGATCAAGCTCAACAGACATACTATCCAATTCCAGGTGGCGTCTAGCACACCAGGAACCTAGAACTTCCTTCAGCACCTCCGAGGATTTGCTGATACCCTGGGTGTTCATATTCTCTGAGATGTCTGTGATCGGTTGGACCTTGCTGATGGGTGCTCTGAAGGCACCCAGGGCTAAGCTGGCATTTCAAATGGAATGGCCAAGGTGCCATTATCTGGTTCTCTATTAGTTAAAGCTGGCTGTAGCTATGCATGCCGAATTCATCAAGCACCAGGCTAGGGCCGAATCTAGCGGAGCGCTTCTGCACACAAAATCTAGAATCTAGAAACGGCTGACAGAATTCAGAAGGCTTTCCCCATTTGAGGAACAGGAATTCAGATCATTTACTTCGAGCATCCCCACCCTAACCTGTTTGGGCATCTGTGATCCCAAACAACGCGCCAATCTGCAGACATAGCAATTATGCATTCCAAGCTCTACCATTGGGGTGGACACGCTTGGTAACTTGCTATATTCTGCTGTTAGGGAGGGCATGGATACTCTTTTGCTGGGTCCTGCAGGCGAGAGTCTGAGGTTGCGCAATGCTGAATTACTGTTGAATTTGGAGGATGCCATGATCCTCTAGGGCTGGGCGTGGTGTGGGCACAGAGGGATACTATGCAATTGACTGCAGGGCTACTCTGCAGAGATATGCCAGGCTCAGGCTGTGCGTGGATACTCTGCAGGGGGTTGGGCACCCTAGAAATACTCTGCATACTCTGGCGTCAGGCGCTGCAAGGACCCTCTGACGTTGAGCGCTGCAGGGATACTCTTCATGTGGGCACTGCGGGTATTATCTTACTCTTACTCTCGCTGTTTGCTTTTTTCCATTCTTTCATTTGGGAGTAGGAGAGGGCCCTGAGCCCCTGCTCTTACTCTCCCCCTCCCTCGCGCTGTAACTCTCACTTTCTTTCGTTTGGGTAGTGAACAGCATGCAGCTCTCTCCGGGCACCTGCCCCGGCGCCTAATTATTGGGTTCTCTTCTTCTTTTTCTTCTATAGGCTATGCGGGAACCCTGACGCCCCGCGGGGGCTAGGCCCCCAGCCCCACGGACTGTCCAGGTTTGTCTTTCCCGAGTGGGTTCACTCTCCCTCTTAGTTACCCGTCTCCTCTTCATGATTCTGCTTCTTCCTCAGATGTTTCTTCGTCTTCTTTGTTCTTTGTCAGGTAATTTGTCTTCTTGTGAGGAAGGTATTAAGGCCGCGCCCTGAGCCCTTGCAGGTTCGCGTCACTTGGTCAGTGCAGCAAGGTGCCAGGTACTGTGCAAATCTCAGGTCGTGCCGTAGGAGAATCACACAACTCAAATCTTTATGCTTTCTTGAAGCGTATTGCTCCCAGGACCTCCATGATTATGGGTATGGACTTCGATGCTGCCTACCTAATAAGTTTCTTGGAATAGCTCCCACCAGTCGGGATTCTTACATATCAAATGTGAAAATTTGTTATTACAGCTTGGCACATGGCCGAAGAGAGGCTTTCACCACATAAAGGACAGAAAGTGTATGACGTTTCCGTTCCCGCGCCGGCTGTTCATGTTCAATAGAGTACTCTCTTTCTTCTGCTCTGAGGAGTTGTGCTGGCATGCTCTGAGCATTGTGAAGATACTTTGGGGCTGGGCTTCAGGGATAATCCGGCATTGGGCACTGCAGGGATACTCCGGGCTTGGGCGCTGCGAGGAAGGGATACTTGGGTTTGGCTGTGGCATCGGGCACTGCAGCAGGGATGCGCGGACCCCACTGTAGGTATAGTACTCTGTCGTTGGGCACTGCAGGGATTCCTTGTGGTTGAGAATCGCAGGGATACTTTGCGGTTGGGCACTGCAAGGATGCTTTGGCGTCGAGCCGCCGGGCAGTTGGTTTTATTGTCTCGAGCTCCAGGTCTGAAGAAGAAACAAACGGGAATCCATGTCCTTCCCACAGCAGACTTAGGGCTTCAAAAACCCAGCAATGTACGCGGAGAGCATTCTAAAAATGCTGTGGTGTCTCGCCAGTGCCTTGAGCATCTTTCGAATCTTGGTGTGCGCAAGAACCTTCCAAAGCCTGAACCCGAACACACTTTACCAGAATTTACCCCTAAACCATGTTTTCCTTATATTAATGGTACGACTATTTCTCTTGCCCAGAAACCGGCAGTACTCCAAATTCATCCCCGCAGCGAGCCATTCAACGCATATAAAGCATGCAGGGGGGTTGCTCCACCCTGTCGATGTGGGGTCGTTAAATTTGGAAATGTCCATGTTCTTCTCTCGCTGACCCATCCTTCTGTAATGCCCAACCAACAAAGTCTCTGCAGTCTGCCCCAACGTATCCCTGCAGTCGCCAACCTGATAATATCCTCGAGGTGTTCAACCCGAAACTATCTCTGCAGTGCCCAATAGTTAGTGCCCAACTAACCCAAAAACATTCCTTGCTAAGTAACGAGCTCTATCAAGCCTTTGGGTGGCATTGCACCCACCACCAAAACACAGTGTTTCAGATTCAAGGTCATCTCGCACCACCGTGCCGCAGCTAGCTAACACTGTCCAAGACGGGATGATATTGCACTCGCATCTATTGAACGCGTAAGCGAAAATCCGGCACACAAATTTTTGGGAAGGCGTTTTTTTTCCCACCGGGAAAGACACGGTGCCCTGTGCCCATCCACAGACTGCCGCAGCTATGTCGCCATCATGGAGCACGCGCCGCAGCCTCCTGAGAAAAGGCAACGCATCGACCAAGGCATCATGCCCAAGCAGACTTTCACGGTCACGGCTTGCACAAACTGCGAATCCTCGGCTGGCGCGGAACAAAGGGACTGCGGAACGGACACTTTGCTAGGGTGTCTACGCCTGGACTGACAATGAAAATCCAGGGCGCTGAGTGTGCGCTGCATGCGTTGCTACTGAAGCCCAGAGCTGATGCTCGTGCTCAGAAGTTGGGAGTGCTGTCGGGCAGCAGTAGCCTTTAAGACCGAAAGCAGAAGTCAAAAAAACAAGACAACTTTTCCACTGACCGGTCCTCTGGACAGACACCCGAGCATGTGACGTGAACTCTCGCACGCCATTCCTTGGCGCATGCCTCACACATTGGAGACGACGACTCGGGCATGTCAACCAACCGCTTGCAAATGGTGTGGTCAGGTCTCTCGTTTCGAGAGCAAGAAATGCCTTACTCGCGGGCTGCACAGGCATCTGGAATTATCTAGATTCGTCCTGAAGGCGATCCCAGCAGCGCGTGTCCACCTTGCATCCAAACTAGCGCTGGCAGCGGTGCATGCCCTTGCCTTTTGGGACCTAGCGCGCCTCCTGCAGCTTAGCCGTGACACCGTGGCTGGGGCAACTACGGGAAGCAATTGTGTTTTGCGTGGGGGTCATTTTGCTTCTCGAAATCGTAAGGATCCGCGCAACGGCCTGTGAGCCGTCAATTGACAAACTCGGCAAGTTTTGTCCGTGGCTGTATGGTCCAGGTGAAAAATACACATAAGGAAAAAAACGGATGCGGCCTTGTCCTAAAACCTTCCTACTGACTTTGTGTCGAACGTTTCCTGAAGCGGAGGCTTCTACGCTTTCTAGCTCTCACGCAAGCGATGCTGCTGCTCGCGGAGGATCCCTTTGCGCGAAAAAATTAGAGATGCCAAACTGACGAAAAAGCTTCTGAAGAAAGGAAGCGACACACATGCGGCTCCATGATTGCGAACGCTCGCACGACACGCTCATGACTTCAAGCAACAAATCGCAACAGAGTGCCAACCCTGGCATGAAGCGTCCCAGCTGCCTTGCCAACCAGGCTATTCATAGTCAAAGGACGGCGGACGGACCCTGTTGCGAATGGCCGCCATAAGCATCTGCGAGGAAAGCTGTTGCGACCAGGACCTCATAGGCCACGAGGTGCCCCTAACTTTTTTGCTTCGATTCGTTGCATCGACGCAAGCACCTCAATCACATCATCTTCTTCAAGCCGTTCTGTTCAACAATGCAAGTTGCCGGAGGAGGGCTTGCCAGCTGCAACATTGTCACACGCCGCAACTCCAGTGCATGCTTTTCTGGCTATAATTCCCACATGTGCTTGAAAAGGACAGCACAAGCACACACCTTCTGAACTGGAACTGACCTTCTAATGCATCAGGCCCTGAGATCATCAGCGATACCAAGAGCTTCCGCCGCCCTCTCAGAGGAATGGCGCCGCCGCTGCAGCAAAGGAACGATAAATATCAGGCGCAAGAAGTGCTCTTGACAACTGTAACTTGCAACATTTCCCACTCTCCACAAAGCCAGTTTAAAAAACCAGTCATGAACAAGCAAGCAAGGGCGCTGTTTCAGCTCGGAACACAACCTTACAGCTACACGAAACAGATACTGGTTGTCAAGCCTACTTTTTAATCCAGCCAAGTGCCATGAGCATGTGACAAATGTGCAAACCTCTTTGAATTCTTGCCTGTGTGGAATTGTTTTAGCAGCTCCAGATCTAAAAGCAGTGAAAGCTTGGAGCGAAGCTTGCGCTCGGCGATGGCCTGTCTAGAAGCAGGCGCATGCAGACTTGCGGGGAGCAACACCAGAAGACAACAGCAGCGCTAAAAAAAAAAAGGGAATCTCCTGCGGGTCACTGCCATGCGAAGTAGAATTGCCACCTGCACCCAGCAAGTGCCGATAGCTGTCGCCCATGAGTTGCAAAGTCAGAGTGCTGGACTTGAAGGCATCAATCATAATGCTAAGCAAAGCGCTGAAAAGCCGCCGAGCAAGCGATGGGGCAGCTGCCATGGCTAGCCTGACAGGGCAAGCTCACTTGTGCGTTGAGCGTTGCATCCACCTGAAATCACTTCGGGCCCCACGCACCAATCCACCTTGTATTCCCGCAGAGTCCTTTTCCTCATTCAACCCCACCAATAATTCTGGGTTCGCCTGAGATCATTGAATGTTGTTCTGGATTCCTGCCTGAGCTGACTCTACAGGAATTGCCTGTTTCAAGCTCAACAAAAGCATCGGTGTCTTGGAGCTGCTTCTCTCCGTTGGGGGCTTTACTTTCTGTCTTTTACCTTTGACAGACATTGGCAGTCGCACTCCCCCCTGTCGTTTCATGCTTCTAGCCTTGGAGGAAGTTCCTGGGTTCCTTTGTGTCCAGTAAGATGGAGAAAAAATGTCGAAACAAAAAGGAGGAAACATTCTGTTCGCCGTCGTTGTGGTCATCAGCCTGGCCGTGGCGCTGGTATCGCGGTTGCTGTGGGTCCGACGTGTCGAGTGCAGTGCTTTCACTAGCTAGGCCCGGCGCAATTCTCCAAGGATAGATCTCACTTGACTCTCATTCAATTTAGATATTGCTTGCCAAGGATAGATCTCACTTGACTCTCATTCAATTTAGATATTGCTTGACAAGAAAGAAAGCCAATACGGGGCACTCGCGCGTGCGCATTGGCCACTCTCATGCCTGGACATCCACAGCCCATGCTTTGGACCCCATCTCACACACTACCCTTCCATTTCAGAACGACCCTCGTGACCCCAGCATGTCTCGTCAACGCCCGATATCCTCCGGCCGGTGATCATCAAGCATTGATGCTTGGAGGCTTGACCATCAACAGCTAATGGAATCTCTACTAGAGACTGCTCCTAAGCTCACGACGTACCCAGATTTGCAAGTGCGGCTGCTGCTGCAGTTTGGACCTCGACATCCGCCTGCAACTGGGCAAATCCAATGTTTCAAATTGCTAGCAAGGCATTGCCTCATTTCCATTCCCTTCCAGTCCAAGATGGGAGACCAGCAGGTCCACCTCATCAGCTGCTCAGGAGTGCGACGTTTCGTGAAAGCCAGGCTGCGCACAAATGGCAGCGCTGCTTCCTGCAAGCCTCCGAGTGTGGACAGAACCTGAGCTCCAAAATGAAAACGCGTTGCATGCATGGCCTCGGAAGAATTTTGGGTGCCGGCAGTCTGTCTAAAGTCTGAAGAGCTTGCACCAGCAAATCCAGCGAGGATCTGTGCACCAGCCGATCAGCATGGGAAACTTGCAGATTGTCAGAGGGCGATTCTTGACGCCTGCGCATGGGGGGCTGCAAAGCTTGGTCCCAACGCTCTCAAGCCATGAAGAGCGCCAGCTTGCACCTGGGCTTCTTGATCTCATTCGTTGGCCTGACTCAAGGGATCTCAGGATATCTCAGGGGCCTCAGGGCTATCATCTTCTTCGAGTAGGCCCGCAAGCTTGTTTGCCACCAGCATCGCCTGCCGAGATGCCCCGGGCACTCTCTGCAAAGGAAAGGCGCATGATCCACACGGAATCCTGCCTGGTCGGTGCCTCTCCTGCGCACTAAGCCGCTCTCGACTTTCAGCTGGTACAGCTTGTCCTTGTATGAAACACATCTACCAGCAATCAGAATGAGAAAGCAAGGATGTGCTACGCCTCCTCTTCAGCCTTCTCTGACGAAGACCCTTCTTGAGATTCCTCCATCTGCTTTATGGCATTCACATCAAATTGCCGTGGCTGCTATGTGTCAGCCGGATAACACCAATCAAAGCACCAGTCCAAACCGCCTGCTCTACTTGCGCAGCCGCCAGCATCGCCAACGTCATGCATGCAGCACCCCGCACTTGTGACAAGCCGTCCTCCAGATGCGACAGATGCGAAAAGAACCCTACTTAGGCCCCGAACCTAATTTCCCAGGTCCTTCAAAGCCCGCATCACTGCTGGGCCAGCTTCCTGCGTTACCGGCAGCTTGCAAAGGACCTGAAAGGCCTCAGCACGACTTTCTTCACATCGCCGTAAGTAGCAAACTGTATACAGGAGGCAAGGAGGAGCACTGCGTGCAGACTAAACGCAGAAACTGTCCCTTCAACGATGCTACGCTGCAGGCCTCTAGCACATGCTGACGGTTGGCTGCATCTTGATCCTGCGCAAGATGCGATAGCCGGCAATATCGTAGTCACTCGCGTTCAAAGTGCTAGGGCTGCTAGGCATGCAGGTACGCAGGCTTATCCTGGCCATCATTCTCATGACCTGTGCCAGCGCACCCCTCAGTTCCTTCCCAGTCCCTTCAGAATAGCAAAGTCTCCCGATCTTCCCGCAATTCCAACAGTCATGGCTTTCGCCCTGCCAGCCCGTCAACAAGCGAGCGCCAAGCAGGCGCTACATTGACGACGACAATCTCTAGCTCTAACACAGTGCAAGAAATCGTACGTGCTGACAATCCTCCAGACGTGCCACCAGGGCAAAGATTCCTGGTCGTCCAAGTTGACCCAAGGCCTGCGAAAAGGAGGACCCGAGAAACAAAGCCACTTCAAGCGGATGCGCATGTAGAGTGTACAGGCTACGGCCTGAACAGCCTGCTGCCGAACGCTCTCGTCTGCGTCGGTCAGGGCCAGCGATGCAATCGCCGGTGCGTGGTCGCCCTTAGTTTTTGTGGCCAACAACTCGCTAATCAGTTTGGGCGACTGCGGCCTCAGTCACAAAGGTCTCGCGCAGTTTTTTTACAGTTTGCACAATCTACGAGGCCCTGCACCGTCTCTGCTCCACGAGCTCAACTCTTTCTCATCTTTCTCAGCTCTCAGGCGCTAGCTGCATCTTCGCCAATGCATCCCAAAGCATGGATGCATGCACACCGCATTGTCACAGACGATTCCTGTGGTTCAGACCCCAACATGGCACATCAAAGCTACGCCAATGCACAGAATTTACAGTGTCAGTCTGAGAGCCTTCAAGCTCGTGTGGAACAGCTGGGCAAACGGACTGGCTTGCGGTCCTACGAGGAGCTCAGCTGGACTGTGTGTACACATCCACGGGCGAGCAATTGCAGGCAATTGCAGGCCTTGTGTCCCCAAGGCCTGGATTAAGAGGATGCGAACCTCTTCCCTCTTCTCTGACTTGAAGGTAGCAGCAATGTCTTTGGCAGTGCTAGGCGGCAATCGACCCAGCTGTCCCAAGGACTGTGCTGCTATTTTCCTGAGATCTGGGTCGAAGCTTGTCAGATGCCTTGCCACTGCTGCTGCATGAGTGGCCGCAGGTGCCCCGATTTTGCCGGCAAGTGCCACAGCCATCTTGGAAACCAAAAGGCTGGAATCCTCCAAAAGCTTGGGCAGGACTTTGTTGGGTATCGCAGGGTCAGAAACCACACCTAGTGCCTGAACTGTACGTTGCCGTACGGTGTCAGTTGGGCAGGTTGCACACTGAACAATACCCTCGGAAAGGTCGTCGTCAAGCTCACGTGCACTGCACACGCTGCCCAGTGCTTCGCAAATATCCAGGGCAGCTGATTTCATCTCCGGCCGTTGGTCACCCAGCACCAATGGCAGCAGCTGAAAAGTAATCTCCTGCAATCCAATCAAAGCACGCTTTGCGGCTTCCGTTTCGCGGCGTCCCACATCACCCTCAGGAGACAGAAGCAAGTAGTCCGTCAACGCAGATGCAGCTGACTTTCCGGCTTTTGGCCCAAATCTGCAAAGCGCTTCGGCGGCTGCGATTCGAACTTCCGCATGCTCCTCGACATTGGGGTCTAGCAACTTTGCCAGCATGTTGGTATAGGGCAATGCATGGGGGCAACCAATATAGCCAAGAGCGCGGACCAAGCCTGCGCGGTGCATGGCATCCTCTGTGCTCAGACCTTCTGCGAGAGCATTTGCGCAAGAGCTCCCTAGACATCCGAGCGCGACCTTGGCGGCGTGCTGCACACCCACCGATGGATCTTCTAGTCGGTGCACGACACAATCAATCCATGGGCACGCGAACTCATCGGGACACTGCGATAAGCCGTGCAATGCCGCTGCTATTCGGAAACTTCGGATCCTGTCTTCTCCATCTGATGACTCGGGTATGGCCTCTTTCAATAGCCCACCTAGCACATCTGCGCCGCCGATGGCTGCAGTATGTGCTATGGCCGTGGCTGCTGCTGCGCGCACGCTCCCCTGCCAGGTCAGCACTTGAGAGTAGGTCAAGAGCATAATAGCTTCAAAGACACAAACATCAATTCCATGCGAGAGTCAAACGCACCTGTTCTGAACTCGCAGACACTGATACCTCCTCAAAGGTTGCCTTTGAGGCATAGTCCGGTACACTTTGGTAAGCCGGTGGGTCTGCATCCTACGAAGCCTACGAAGGACGAGCACCGTCCTCTGGACGGATGGGACTTGCTGGAAACTCCTCTTGCGAGGCTTCCGCTCGCGTCAAGGACAGCAGCTTAGTTTTGCCAAATAGCGATTGCTTCGCTCGCGGGCCATCCTGCACAAATAACATGCGAGGTGAGCAACAAAGGAACTAAATTACGTAGGCTTACGTTCCTCAAGGACCCAGAAACGAAACAAAAGGGCTAGCTTGATGTGCCTCGTTGCAATTTCGCTTGCTTTGGCCGAAATTGCTCTTTCTACCTCATCTTGCTCATTGCTCTCATGAGAAAAATCATAGGGGCGAACTGGGAAAGTCATGTCCAATGCTGCCGCATCGCAAACTTTCGGAATGTTTTGATTGATAGGAATGTCTCTGCAAGGACCACGTCAGTGCGGAAATCCTTGATGGTGACCTCAGAGTGAAATGCTGCCAGAGCTAGCGGCAGCTCATGTCAGTAGCGTGTCTCCCGTCAAGCAGTTGACGCACTTTAAAGCCAAGCTGCGAAGACGTCCTCAACATTCAACCTTGTCAATACTTTGTCAATGTACTTCCAGATACAATACAATTTGACTGCACAAACCAAGAATCAAACAACTTAATATCTTGCAGACCTGAAACTTCCGCACACTAGAGCACATTCGAAGGTCGAGAGGCTCCTTGATCAAGTCCACGGTAACATCTACCTTGATCGTTCTCTGGGTTGCAGTCTCAAGCTTCAACATCTCCTCGAATATGTCTCAAGCAAGCGGCAAGGGGTTTTGGTGTTTGTCGCCGTGATGTATTAGATTCTTGAACTTAGTTAGCAAAATGAATTTCACAGCGTCCTTTGCTTGGTCAGCAGCAGAGCTGGCTTTCTGTGCAGCGGACACCATTCCATCAATGATGCTTCTGGTGGTTCCCTTCGTTGGCCAAGCAACCAAGCTTGCCGGACATGTGCAAACGGTTGCTCAACTGTGCTTTTGTCCCATGGCGCCTCGCTGACGCCAGCCTTCTTGCAGCTGGCTGTAGCTCCCTTCACAACCGCAGCCCCGGCAAGCTGCGTCTGACACGGAAAACAACACAACAAAACACGCATCCTGCAAGGACTTCTGCTCGAATTGTTTCGCTAGCAGTGTGGAGTTGATGCAGTACCAAGCGGACGCTGTGCAAAGGTAGGGCGCCTGCATCACAGCCAAAATGCGCGACATCAAGTGTCCGTAAAAGCCTCCTCTTCTGTTACGAATGACCGGGTTCGGAAGCTGCTTCATCCTCAACTTTCCGCGGCGGTTCTCGACGTCAAAAACTTAGTGAGCAAAACTCAAGGCTCGCGACATTCTTTACCATCTAAAGCGGTGACCACTAGTACCACTAGTACTGGCTTGCAGCAACAGCACTTCCAGCTCAAAAACCTGGGCTGTTCACGCCATCAGGGAAGAAGCTGGAGGGCTGATACCCTGAATCCAAAGCTTTTCAAGTGCGTTGGGGGCACCGAGCAACGAGTCACGTCAACGTGATGCTACCCCATGCACGCACTCCTCCAATAAACGGGGGATGTGCAGACCTCCTCAACAATACAGCCTACCAGACTGACTCTGCTTTGATAGCGCTCAAGTTCAAAGGAAACCTGGGAGCCAGGCATCAACGTCCTACCCCCCTCCCCCTTCCCAATCATCCCGAAGCCTGTCGGAGCAATCTTCATGCACAACAGGACAGGACTTCCATTGGCAAGCGACACTGTGAGTGGTGTTCAAGCGACACGGAGGCTCGAAGTAAGACTTGTAGCGCAGCTCTGGGGCTTCATGCGCTGCGATGTCCAAAATGCCATGCGAAGTCATAGCGTTACAAGCCACATGCAGGCCCCTCCAAAACCGCCACAGGCTGCATGGTGTGACAGCTTCTCTGTGGGAACCACGCAGGTTCGTGTCATGTAAACATGCTCAAGTTGGAAATCACACATTGCAACAAAACAAGACGTAAATCTAAAGATCTGCAATGCAAAACACGCATCCCGATTGAGGGCATTGCCTGAGCCTCCATGGCCAGGCTTCGCCGCGGAGACGGAAAGAAAGAAAAACCGGGTGTCCGAGAGTGCACCCCTGTTTACAGTCACAATATTCTGAATCGCAGCATGCGGAAAACATGCGCGTGCTCTTTTCGCGTTGGCTGCTTTCTGTTTTTATCGCTCTGTGATGGTTTCTGGTCGCGTTTTCTGCCCTGTGCTTGCCTAATGCCTTCGAGTGAAATCGGTCAAGCTCTTTTCAGCAAAAATTTGTGCATCCCCTTTAATGCTTCATGAAGTGAGCTGAAAGTGCGTGGTGTGCGTGCATCACAACCCCCTGACTGCCATGTCCAAACATTCCGCAAGAGGACAAGCCACAAACCACCGGCCTGAACATAGCAAAGCAACGGCATAGATACAATTGCAAGGAACGAGCACGCACCTTGCGTCATACTGCATCAAGCCACGAGATCCACACACGTCACACACGCGCCCACAAAACCGCACCGCACCAACCAGACAGGTTGAAAGGCATGTGCTTTCGGGTACCCCCACCCCAATGCTGTCAGCCTGCGCATGCCTGCGGTTTGCACCCCTTGCCGCATAGTAGCGCCATCAGCGCCCGCCCCAAATGCTGCGGCCATCTGCACAGCGAACCGTCACTGCCCATGCTGCGGCTAGTCAGACGGCCAATCTGGGTTAGGGTGCCTGCTGCAGCAAAAGAAATGTCAGGCCACAGCAGCAATCGTCCTAGCAACCAGTAACAGTCTTGACGCCCGCGACGCCAGAGCAGCACGGTCATGAACCGCTGTTCTACAGGGGCTGACATGCGCTAATTCGATGGTTTGATCTGTCTCGGACAGATTACTTAGCCTCATGCAATTTCAGGTGCTTGTGAATTTGGAATATTGGTTGTGTCAAGATTGCCTGTTAAAATCAATAGCCCGTGAGAGGATTGGTGCCAGCCTGTTCAGCTAGCGTATAAGTCCATATTTGCTGGAGAGAGACCCTCCAAGTCCGACCGGCCTAATACGTGTTGACTGCTATGATCCGGAGCGCTAATACAGCTCTTGCAAACGCATTTCGGCCTTGGTTCCTTCGACGAGGCAAGACGTCCGGAAGCGCAAATCTCGCCTCAATAGACTATGGAAACACGCAGCAGTAAACTAAGGCTTGTGGCCTATTGCTTTCGTGGCTGCATCGACGCACTAAAACTTTCTGATTCATTCTGATCCGAGGGGCAGCGTAAATTTCAAGGGGCTGAAGGAGACGGATGCGCCATCTTCCTTGTCCACCTTGGCGCACTGGAAGCGAGCCAAAGCACTTCCGTTGACAATCTTTGACACGCTTGGCACCCAGCAGCCAGGAATGTAACATGTACTTTAGGATCAATCCTGCAAATGCAGTGCACAGTTACAACAATCTGTGCAAGCAATCTGCAAGTTCCTTGCCTGGGGTCAGGCTGCACCACTTTGGTTTGGCCCTCCAACCTACATCACTACGTTGATGCAGAGAGAAATTACAACTTCAGTTGGCGGCTGTCATCGCAAATGGGATCATACAGTAGCTTCCAGCCAGTGGCTTAGCAATACTTGCTTGCTCGCCTGCTCTTCAATTCTGCCAGAGCGTACTCGGTGGCATCTGTCTCACAGCTGCAGCTGCTGCCCATGGCCAGCGCACACAAAAATCAATGAGGCCAGGGCTACTGGGGCTCATGAATGTTGCAGGGTTAGGAAGGCCAGGTACGGCCTGTTTGCAATTCTTTGCACTATGTGCAGCAGCACTGCTAGCACGATGTAAGCCTGGAACGCTGCATACGCGCATGATGATCCTGCTGTAAGCATATCTGACATGTGTGGAATCCTGTCTGCACCTCCGCATCCTGCAAGCATAGCACAAGCTGATGCTGCAGCGCGGGACAGGCATCCAGAGCCTGATCCAAGGTGCGTGAGGTTGGGGCTGAGAGGCTCCGGCCGTGGCCATGTTGACACAAGCTGCACATTTTACATACGTGTACGAACAGGACAAACAAAACGTCTCAAAAAGGGCTGTGACACGTACCTCGCGGGCACCCAGGAAGGTGAGCCGGCATGCAGCTTCAGCAGCCCCACGACGAGTGTTGACTGCGTCATCCTTTCAGGCAGGCTTGGCTAAGCTTACGATCTTCAGCGCTAGCATGCT